TAGCTGACTGCGAAATGCAAATCCTGTGAGCACAAAGGGCGAGTCAGCACAGAGCACACTTCCTTTATAATCCATCGGAGCCTTCTCGATTCACCTGAGGCGTCTCTTCTAGCAGAACAATAGACCTCCACCTGATCGGATTTCGACCTGGGGTAACCTTTCACCATTTCCCCCGACACAGGGACCTTTGTTGATCCCAGATGAAGGATCAGATCAGGTTGAAGCAACAATGATTTTCATTCATCTGGAGCAAAACTGTGCTTATACACATCGTGAGAAGGCTGCAGGCACACAAGCTGCTTCAGGCCGGTGACCTTCACTGTTCTGCTCTTTATCACTGATAACAGTCAAAACCCAAAATACCGCACAAGCTTCCCTTTCCCAGAATGCACCACATCCTGCCAAGAAGGTTATGTAAGCTGAAGCAGCCTTGGCTGAGAGACGTGTTTTACTGCTGGCTGTGTTCCTGTTATCACCTTGGGTGTTTGAAAAGAGCACAGATAGAGTCTGCTTTGTGTCTTTTCAACAAGAGGATCCTTGTGTCGGCCAGCAGCGACAGATAAGCAGACATCCAGCACATTCCTTCATAGCATTCGTTTCAAACACAGCGAGCAGGACAAAGCTGAGGATGCAGGTTTAGAAACACTGCGGCTGACAAATGAAACGAAAAGGTCACGAGACGGGAGAAGAGCTGCAACATGTTTCAGACCACAAACTGGTATTGATGCGGCAGATGTGCACATTTAAATGAAACCATTTCAGGATAATGTTCCTCGATGTAAAACTGTGATCATCATCTATTGTACATAAAATCATCACTGGAGAAATCTCTGTGTGCAGGAGACGAGGCTGAAAATGAGTAATGTCCCTCGTTCCCTCAGGCACGACTCTGCATCCACAGATAAGCTTAAAGCCACATGTGGACACATCGTCACTGAGATCATGTCAGATGGACTGAGGAGGAAAACTGTTCTGTGGTCAGACTCAAAGTTGGAAATTCCTTTTAAAAACATGGACACCGTCCTCCAGCCTAAAGACGAGACACCAGCTGGTTTGTTATCAGCTCTCAGTTCAAACGCCTGCATCTCTGTGGTATGGGGGTGGATTAGTGCCTATGGGATTGACAGCTTGCACATCTGGAAAGGCTCCATCAGTTCTGACAGGTATATGCAGGTTTTACAGCAACATGCACCAACATTATGACCACTGACGTGAAGAACAGATTATCTCTTCATCGTGGCACCTGTTAGACAACTGAGCTGGCCAGACAACTCTCCAAAAATGCAGCTCTTGTGGGGCGCTCTGGGTCTGCAGCGGCCCAATGAAGGAAATGGTAAATGGCCTGCATTTGTA